GCCTTAAGGCTGCCACAATCACATGATTTTCTACTCAGTGATATTGCATGTAATAATGGAGTTATTGGTCCCAATTAGGATAACCTGTGGTCAAGCTAACTGTAGAAATGAAGCTGTGCTACTTCACACAGCCGATAAACAATTTAAAAATAGATAAGTTGTTCTTCAGACTCCTTGAAATGGTATGTAGAAATGTCTTTGGGAGACTGGGTGAAAGATGCTGCCTAGGAAATGGTCGGAGCTAAAGTTGTCATATTCTTTGTGCAGGGAAAATACATGTCATGTATTCAGACAACCACCTTCTGATTCCACCATAAAATGCACCTGGAATTAAACCATTTTTAAATTGTTTTCAGTTCTGTTTCCTGCCTTTTCGCCCTTAAACATGAGCCAGCAATGTGCTGCAGCTGCCAAAAAAGCCAACACAGTTCTAGGCTGCATTAACAGAGGGATAGAATCAAGATCATGTGAAGTATTAATATCACTTTATAATGTCTATAAGTGTGTGTAAAGCCACACTTGGAATACTGTATCCATTTTGGTCACCATGATGTAAAAACAATGTTGAGATTCTAAAAAGAATACAGAGAAGAGCAACAAAGATGATTAGGGGACTGGAGGCTAAAACATATAAAGAATGGTTGCTGGAATTGGGTATGTCTAGTTTAATGAAGAGAAGGACTAGGGGTGACATGATGGCAGTGTTCCAATATCTCAGAGGTTGCCACAAAGAACAGGGAGTCAGGCTATCCTCCAAAGCACCTGAGGACAGGACAAGAAGCAATGGATGGAAACTAATCAAGGAGAGAAGCAACCTAGAGCTGAGGAGAAATTTCCTGACAGTTAGAACAATTAATCAGTGGAACAACCTGCCTCCAGAAGTTGTGAATGTTCCAATACTGGAAGTTTTAAAGAAGAGATTGGACAAACATTTGTCTGAAATGATATAGGGTTTCCTGCCTGAGCAGGGGGTTGGACTAGAAGACCTCCAAGGTCCCTTCCAACTCTGTTATTATGTTATTCTGTAATTAATGAGTACAGTCAAAATTCCTGCTATGAAAAAAGGACTCAGTTGATCATAATATAGCCAAGGGCTTATTTTTTTATTGCTGTGATTTTTAATCTGGAATTAGGTTATTTTATAGTGACAAATCAAATTCCATCTTCATCCCACTGTAATGCAATTGTATAACTTTACACAATTAGAAGTCAGAGTAGACTATAAATTACAGGTGACATGAACTGAAAAAGCAATATAGATTGAATATTATATGGAAATTGAAGTTATTTTTTTAGAATAACTAACAAATTCAACTTACTTTTTTTGTTCTTCAAATATGGCACCCAGAACAGAGGGAAAGTTGTTTTTGTCATGCTGATAAAAGCAAAGCTCTTCTCTCAGGTGCATTTTAAACATTCAAAATAAAAAGTGTGTTGCCTCTCCAGATCAGAAAGTAATGCAGTGGTAACTCCCTGGGAATCCTTTGCTGTGTACGTAATCATCCTTCATGCTTCATATTATTTACTGCATCAAAGACATAGAAATCCAATACAGCAAAAGAGCTTTAATTCAGAAACCTCAATTTCCTTCAGTGGAGTGTACTACAGTAAACAGGATGGAGTAAACAGGTTCTGGGGTTAGTTAATGAGAACTAAATCAAGATAGTTTTCATTAATAAAACAAGTAAACCCTTCCAGATGTACAATTTTATATCATGTTTATAGATTTACTTTCCATCACTACCAATGTTTAAGTCTAAAATAATGAGACATTTTGTACCCCCTGGCTTAACAGGCACCATCAATCCTGCTTGAGGTGCAGAAATTTTCACAGTGAGCTTCAGTGAGCATTGTCACTGTTCTGCTGAGCCAACATCCATCATGCAACGTGATTAAATCTACAATCAGACTTTATAATAGAAACAGGGTATTTATATTATCAGGGAACTCCTGTCTTGGACTTGGAAAGTAGAGTGGCTCAGCATGGTTGAATTGCTATGTAGCAGCAGGAAACTGTTATCAGCATCGGACAAACTTTAGGAGATTATCCATTTTCATATAGAAATCACCTTGAGCACAGCTTCTCTCCTAAAATGATCAACTTGGAGGTTTCAGTAAGTTAAATATACTTGGTGCTCTTGATACAGAACTTTGATATAAAATGGCATGCAGATGATTTCTGAAGAACAGCAGAGATACAGGTCAGCTTTCAGTTGATAATACCACTTTACAATTGAGTTCAGTGAAAATCAGCCTCTAAATGACATGCTTGATGGAACCTAGATCTGAGGGTGATGATCCTCAAACCCAATTAAGCCCATAATTAAAGAGCAAGCAGTCAGATTTGTTCTTTTTCTTGCATGACTATTTCTGTGATAGCTAATTATTCTAGGATCAGAAAATGAGCACATTGGGTGCTGTACATGCAGAATTTGTTTTTCTCTTAATATCAGGATAGCTGATAATTTGTAGATATTCTACTATTAAACTTGCACTTAAGTTCTCATGAATGGCAATGGAGACTAGAGGTCAGTTCCTAATCATTTGGCTTTGCTCCATAATAACTTAGGACATTGAATACAATGCTTGATGAAAGTAATCGATCTGTTCTATGTCATTTTTTTTATTGTAGAACACAAAGGTCATCTGTTGGGAACCATGTTGCATGCAAATGCTGAATAAGATTAAAACAAGGGATGGCAGGAGTCAGAACCCAAAATAGATAGTGCCAGTGCTTTTTTTCTAAAAAAAAAAAAAAAGGTGTCGGAACTCACACACGTCATACAACCCACCTTGCCTACCCTACAAGTTTCCATCCAAAAAAGGTGCCGGAACTCCGTTCTGGGCGTTCTATGAGAAAAAAAGCCCTGGATAGTGCCATCAATTCTCTCACTTCTTTAAACTCTCTTAACCAATTCATAGAACAGGGTACTGGGGAAAAGACAAACCGAGTTTGCTTGAGGTCATAATAGCTTACTTGCAAAGGATTTTTTAAATTAAATTGGCCACATTAAATTAGGCCAAGGATTACATACATTCTTCCCTGTGGTAGCCTTTTGTCACTTTTCACATTGAAAGCATTAAGGTTGATACCTGCATTCATTTTAGATTTGTGTTGCAGTTTTAAGGCTGATACCTATGTTTGGTTTCAGTTTGTGCTGCAGTTTTGAAGCAATTTGGCCCACAATGAGAAGAAGCCTGTTTGAGTTCAGCAGAATTAAAATTTGAGAACCAACAGCAGCAATACAATTCAGACCAAGCATTAGTCTTATTCTAGTCCAAGTTCAATAGAGTCCAAATCTGTATCAGTAGCCAAGTTTCAAAGACAAAGCATTAACACTTCCAGTTTTTTTGGCAAGGAGTGGACATGAAGCAAAATATAAAGCATACAAGATCTGGCTGTCACAGCAAATTCCAGCACTGTACTGCGCTCCATGTAGTCACTAAACAGAAAAAACTCCCAGTCTTCTCCTTCAGATACCCAGCACCAATTGGTCCTGATTTCTGGAGCCATGCTACTCAAAGCACCAGCCTACTCCCAAATAGATAATCCTGCATTCTATTCCCCCCCCCCTTTCCTCTGGTGCTGTTATGGTGGATAGAACCTTGGTTCAGAGTATGAAAGAAGAAAGGCGGAATTTTACTTTATGTTGTGAATGAAGAATTAGCTGTCTTGCTCTGCTCTAGTAAGTGCTACATCTCAGCTTTCTTGGGTGGAACATTCATAGTTCTGGGGTATAATGGCAGATAGAATTAAAACTATTGGTTTTTTCCCCTTTAACTAAAATCATGCTATTCAACCCTATTTGATGCTCAGATAGGAGACACAAAGGTATCTAGCAAGAAGGCTAGAGAAGAAAACAATAGCTTGGATAGAGCCATATTTATAGTGATCTGCTTTCTTTTCTGCTGCCATTTGGTTCATTCAGGACTTGAGCTCCTGATGACTCATTTGGGAATGTATTAGAGTTAATGAAGGAAAGATAAAATGATGCCATTGTAAGTTAATATAAATAGAGAAGAGATGGAAACTTTGCTCTGTCACTGGGTTTATCCACAAAGACAGAGCTATTACTTGTATACATCATCTAATTTGATCAAATAATAAAACAAAACAGCATGTTATTTTCTTTAAAATAAAAGAACTTAGTTTCCAAAATTTCTGTAGCTTTTTCTGTCAAATGCGGTTGCATTCATTTGTTCAAAAGCTTCTGCTGTTCCTGACATACCTTTTAATTCTGTTATAGTATAGGAAGTGAAGTAGTTACAGCTGTTTGAAGGTTCTTCTTGTTAGTCAGCAGAGATCCTAGGTACTGATTTCCTGAAAGATATTTTACCTTTTACTTTGAACTGGTTCCAAGTTACTCAAATGAAATTGACAAAGCAAAAGGGAACAGAAATTTAGAGCTGATGAATATTTCTAATAAATGGAAATATTATTTAAAATGCAATTAATTTTGAATACCGCAGAATTCTACAGCAAACTGATTAAGCTAGTGCACTGCATTTGATTTTAAATAACACATTTGTTTGAAACTTTATTGTACCTCTATTATACAATTTTGGAACGAAGCTGAAAAAAATAATCTTATTTCATGCCTTCAAATGACCAAATAGTGCTAGTCCCTGCAGGTTTTTTGGCAAGATTTTTCAGAAGTGTTTTGCCTTTGCCTCCTTCCTAGGTCTGAGTGAGAGTGACTGTCTGAAGGTCAACCAGCTGGCTTCGTGCCTAAAAGAGGACTAGAACTCATGGTCTCCCTGTTTCTGTACTGATGCGTTAACCACTACACCAAACTGGTTCTTGAAAGAAAATTATAATAACAGCTATAGAAATTCAAGGGTTGACACTTCAAATACAAGTCCTAATATGTATTTATTCTTCATTTCCCTTGTATCTCATGATACCATGTAAGTCAATGAACCTCACATGGCCGTAACTCCACACTTTATCTTGAAATGGAAGATTGCTCTGTTTGTCTTAAAGTAAGGAAATAATCACATTAAAATAAAATGCCATCCTTGGGTGCACTGTCCAAAGGTCTCTCTCGTTCCTTCTTCTTAGAATACTTTGCACGTTGATAGAAAACAATGATGATAATAGTTGTAGCATTGAGGGCAATTATAGCAAGCATGATCCAGTATGAATATCCATATGAGTTGGTTTGTTCAAAGTCTGTGGAAACTTTGCATTGTTTGATGGCCAGCTCCGAGGACAGTTTGTTTACTTCCACATTCACTGCAAACAATATTAGGTTTAAGAGACAGCAGATGCCTAAAAGGAAAAAGAAAATACTGCTGATATTGTGCATTTCTTTGTTATGTTTAGCTCCTTAAATATAAACATGCTGAGTCAGTCAACTGCTTCTGGAATAGATTGAGGTACGTAGCAAGGGTCACCCACATGGAATTATATTTCTGCATACCAAAATATTATAAAACAGCATTCTGTATCTCACATGTGTTGGACGATAAGTCTCATCACCCACCCATTCCCCAACCATCACACTGTGATGATTTTGGATAATGATTTTTATAGTTCATGTTCAAAGGCCTGGATTGTAATAGGATTTTACATAGGTTCTGCTTAGCATTTATATATTTTATAATACAGTTTTCTCCCTTGCACAAATTATTTCAATCCTGTTTTAAAAATAGGAATCTCTTGGGACAAATTCAGTATCAGAAATTGAGTTATTTTAGTAGTAGGATCACAAGGATAGCAAAGTACATCAAAAGAAACCTGATGTAAGTCTAATAGAAGACTGAGGATTGTAGCTCCAGGGAAATGACTGAATGAGTTCATTTTACAGTATAACATTTCACTACTTTTTCATGTATATAAAAAACAGTTTTTGTCTGCAAGTGTATTTCTATTTTTTTTTCTCTTTAAGCAGTGTTTTTCTCTATTGCAATTTTACTCTTTAGGCTGCTCTCCCAAGAACTAAGGAAACCTCATATTTTTTTCTTGCTGGTTCAAGGAGCCATAATAAGACACAATGTGAAAGATTAATTATCAGATCACCTAACATTTTTAACTTTTAAGAATATTTGGGCTCAAATCTTTATAGGATCAGGGTGAATGGCATTTCTTCTGGTCATTTCCATGATCAGGGTATTGGAAGGAGCCAGTGGGCCTTTTGTTTTGCACATACATACATACATACATAGATACATACATATACCTGCACATACATACATACTATAAAACATATATAACAAAGTTACCAATAGATTTGAGAAAGAATAAGGATTTTAGATTAGGAATACAGAGAGCAAGGAAAGACTTAATTCCCCTCTTCTTCTTCCCCTTTGCCCTTCCTCCTCCTCCTCCTCCTCCTCCTCCTCCTCCTCCTCTTCCATTCCAGCAGCCTTGCATATTAGTTATTTAGCTATTATTTGTCCCCTAGTAGGATTTAAAATCTAGAAATAAAAACCAAAAGAACAATGAAAACTCATATACAGTTGTTTGCTGTCTAAATGTAAGTGTATTAGATTATCAATTATTTGCAAACATACTGTTCAAATGTATATTACTTACAAGACACAGAATTCCAAGTATAAACTCCAATAGGCCCCAAAAATGTTTGGTATGGGTTGCTGATGGCATTGTAACAGGTAAATCCAGAACTAAGGAAGGAACTGAGCATAGTCATAACCAGCAGAAATATAATTACACTGTTGAAAATCTTCAAAGTATCATTTTCTAGAGCACCTGCAACTGAAAGATAATTATTCATAATTAGTATCGCAAGATGCAGAGATAATATAAATAATTTCAATATAGACATATTTCACAAGTACCTGGTATCACCAGCAAAACATTAAAAGGTATTGGTTTCTATCAGCTGCAACTCAATTCATTAGATGCCTACAGTGGGTGGTTGGAAAAATAGCTACCAGACTTCTGAATTATTATTTTTTTGCCATAGATGAACATCACTCTCTCTACAATGTTCACATGCATGGATTGATTTTTATAAAGGTAATTTAAAATGTAAAACGTAGAATTAAAGAGGCAATTGATGATAATGATGGCTCCTTTCAAATATGGCCGTGCATGTTGAATTTTTTGTTACCAACTGGATATTGTCCAGATAAAATGAAACTGACACACTGGTTAAATTAGGAAGGACTGTTCTAGGTTTATAAAAACACTTACTGACTATTGTGCATGGGAGTTTATGCTCAAGAGTTGCAGACTGACTATCGGTCCATATAGTCCTGGACAGTGCTTGTTTTCTAAAAAAAAAAAAAAAGGTGCCAGAACTCACACACGTCATACAACCAGTCTTGCCTACCCTACAAGGTTCCATCCAAAAAAGGTGGCGGAACTCCGTTCTGGGCATTCTATGAGAAAAAAAGCCCTGGTCCTGGATACCACTAATTATTTGGACAGAGCCTATCTGTTCAGAATTGAATGCATATACCTTTGTGTGCAATGCTAGTGACACTGCTTCGTTTTATAAAGATTCTGGTCACATCAAGAAAATATGTGTAATGTACATATATATACGTGTACAATTCACACAATTAATTAATCTCTATTGAGATTTTTGAGAATGTGCTTAGTCCCTGCTATGCATTCGTTATTCTTGGATCTGAATAGCATTAGGACCTGTAGAAATTAGGAATCATTCTCAGGAGTCTTAGGAATCCTTCCTCTCTTTCTCTCTTCTATTACTTCTTGTCAAAAAAAAACAAAACCCTGAGAAAAGTCTTTGATTTTATTTCTTAATCTTTCCAATTTCTTGAGCGCTGTTCAAGATAGACTGTTCCTTGTTGATCTTATTAGAATTGTTTTATAATTCTTTTATTTTCTGATGTTTGTGAGCTTTCTTTATAGGTACAAGGTATATCTCTCCTCTAATACGCAACCTGTCTGGCTATCTCTTTTTCCTGATTTTTTTTTTTAAATCTTGTGGGAGTAGTTAACCTCATAATAATTTTCCCTGGAATTTATCTGTAGAGTAGAACAGCAATAAAGTGCAATCTGCTGGAGAGATTATTGCATGATGAAAGGCATATCACCTAGTTTCAACCATTTCATAATATCAAAGTAAGCTTAAGAACAAGGCATTTTCTTCCCATTAGAATTTCACTAGTATATTTTTCTTTTCTGGAAAAAAGAATCAAAGCCATTTGTTTTCTGACAAACAAAAGGAAACTAGAACATTTTGGCACAGCACTAATAATTTGATGTAGTGATTTAATATTTCAAGGACATGATTTATATTTTATCCCATAATTCTTTGCCAAAATCCTGTGTTTTAAAAAGTAGAACAAAGAGACAAATATATACTTTGTATGCATTTTTAAAATAAAAACAAAAGGCATGACTATTTCCGCTCAAATATATGCATTCAAACATAACACAGCAACATATTTATGCATTTTCTTAAATTGTCTATTGTTCACATCATGACAAGTTCATCTTGAGAGTAGGCCATCTGTATGTGTGCACAGAAATGTCTGTAAAGGGGGTTGATTTCTTTATAAGAATTTCAAATACTTATGCTTGCTTAGAAATGGCTAAATGTTGGCAACATATTTTAAATCAAACCTAAACTGAACAAAATTGTTAGTCTGCTTTGATATATGGTTAAACATTTCAAACATAACGGGTTGGGAATTTATTTAAGAATGAAATATTTTTAATGTTGGGACGTGAGAAATAGCTTATGAAATGCAGCATCTCGTTCTAGGATTCTCTGGAAGGCCCAGGAAAGCCTACAGTCATTTATTACACAACATAAATCACAAATGGCAGCCTAATAAGTGTCTGCTAGTTTAATTGTGCATCGTGGTTTGTGCATTTAGAATGCAAAATGTAAGAGAAGAGATCAAATTTAATGTTTAGTCAAGGAAGGCTCATGAGAAATCTGGAGGATAATATCAGATGCCTTATTGTGGTAAGGCTACTAATTAACTGACCTTTTAATATTCAAGCAAATTACTCTTGCCAACAAATTTCAAGCTACCTAAGAATTGCTATGCACATTAGCCTCTGTATAATTCATACTGCAGCACTTTGCACATTTAGTTATCTTGCTAGGTTCCATCAAGAAAAGCAGAAGATATATATTAAATTGTTTTATGGTACATAATAAAATGTATTTTGTACTCTCATAAAATATGAAAAATAATATATGTTGTGATGTAAGAAATATTCTTATTTATTAGGCTCAGCATAGCCATTCACCCCAGTGTGACGTTCAATAAGGAGAAGCAGCTTAATTTAACACAATACACAGCTTTTAATAATGGTATTCATATATTATGTTTTGAAAAGTGGAATAAGAGGCTGACAGCCCTTTGAGGTAGTCCAGACAAGCAACCAAAACCATGAGAACTAGCATTATTGCAAATTACAATAACAGAATCTTACAAGTCTGAAAACACTCCTCCCCTCCCTTGTCTTTACATTTCAGAGAACTAGGAAGGCTCCCTTCTAAGATGCTTTCTCCAGCCCCATTCCTTTTGTGGGCAGAGATATCTCTTGTCTAGGCTACTGTCTAGGCTATGGCACCTCTTCCTAAGGTTATTCTCACAACCCATTATGGTGGGGAAGGTTAGCAGTAATGACTGTAATGACCTTTTTCCTATTGTCTTTTCTTTTCACAATTGTTAGCTTTGAGTTTGGAGGCACTACTTAGCTATCATGTCTAATAATGTGGTTGATACTGACACCACACTGACTGCTTTTGAGAATGACCTGTGATGGGACTTGGATAGTAGTGTGGCCCTCCTAATACAACCAGATCTCGCTTTTAATTGTTATCAATGATCAGTGATACCATCTGTATCACTTCTAACAATTTGGACTGGTGTTGTTTCCATTTGGTGGTAATAGGAACAGAGAGATTGAATCTTAAAGTCCTTCTTTATGGAATTCCCAAGGCTCTGTTCTCTCATCCCTCCTATTTAGCATGTAGCTGAACTCAAAGGAAGATGTCATCTACTAATACAAGGTCAGTCAAAATCCTGTCTATATCAGTACATGACCCTGAGCTAAACAGGAGATACAGCTGAACATTGTCTTAGTGCTAAACATTATGAGAGTGTGGATGCGAAAAAGAGACTGAGATGCAATCTCTCTAAGACAGAGTAGATGTGGTTTTGGATTTAGCTAGGCCAGTGATGTCTCAAAGGTGCTTTTTCAGGAGGCAACTGGACTTTCTTGTTTTTCTTTGAAGACGTTTCGCTTCTCAACCAAGAAGAAGCGAAACGTCTTCAAAGAAAAACAAGAAAGTCCAGTTACCTCCTGAAAAAGCACCTTTGGAACAACCATGACCTGGATGACTGAGAATCTCCATAGACACTAAGCCAGTGATATTTTATTCTTTAGTTATGGTCAGATTTGCATGCCTCTGGACTGAACTCATTTGCCTGAATAACATCACTATAGTACTATTTTAGCTGTACTGTTGATACTGATGTGGAGAAGAGGTCTTCTTTTGTTATTCTAGTTTAGTTTCACCGCTTAACCTTTTTCAGTGTTTGCGGTAGTAAAATAGAATAATATTAAAAACCATATCAATTAACAGATATCCCTTTATTATTTTAAAAAACTATTGGATTATCTGATTTTATTTTAAATTTTATACAGGTGATTCTTTTCTGTGGTCCATCACAATTTCATTTGCATATTAATTAGTAAATCTATAAATATAAAAGCTCAATTTGTTCTACAGTGTAAACAATGTAATAAATACCAGTATAATATAGAAAGGCCTCAGTAAATGTAACAGTTAAAATCAAAGTACATTTGGCTGGCTTGTACCATCGTAACATCACAAGTAGGAACACAATATAGATTGATAAAAGACAGTTTTCTGTGAAAATACCCTAGAATTCCTGCATAGGACTGAAGACTGTGAGGATCAGGTGCTGTTTCATACTGATGCCTATTTTTTCTCATATAGCATCTTATTAAAATATAAGAAAATAAGAAGACAGCCAGAGGCAGATAATTAAGAAGACTGTCACATGCATCTACAAAATGTGCGGGACTTTGATATCATGGCCTTTTTTTTTTAACATTCCACTGGGGATTCTGCTGGTCAAAGACAGATTAGGTTCCCAAAGTGATCAACCAGTTGGAGATGAGCCTGATAAAAAATTCAACTTTTACTCAACAGCAATTGGGCTTCAGAAAAATACTGAGTAATATGAGTAATATGAGGCAATGTATGGCACTCTGATTAAAAACTTTATGTTCCATGAACTTCCTTATAAAGTTATCTAGGTGATCTAATTGTTGAAGTAGTGGATTTATTCATTCAAAAATCATTATCAAAGTAAAATTAAATTATTTATGTCACATTTATTTTTCTCCTTCTCCTTCTCCTGACTTTACTTTTACTTTCTCACAATTGCTTTCTTGTCCCATGTATTCCTAGCTTGCTTCTCCTGCTAATACTACTATTGGATTGCTGTGAAAATGGAACTACTTGATTAATCATTGATAATTTCATCTTCCAAGAATTTTTTTTAAAACAGTCCAAGCAATGCTATTGCTACATCGCATTTGACTGAATTCTACAAATTAACTATATGGAGGGCTTAGTGAAATGCACCTTTGTAATTACCTGAACATTTACAATAATGCACATTATATACAAGGCATTTATTAACTTATTATTATTATTGCTATTATTATTATTATTATGGCTAGTAATGTTACCAGGTTTTTAAAGTTTGCTTGTAAAAACGTCTTATAGGTTATTTATTGTACAACAATTTCCTCCTGAAAGACTTTACAGTAAATGTAAATGCCTTACAGTAGTGTATAAACAATGAATGCTTGGTTGAAAGTTTACAATAGTAAACAAAGCTACTTGCAACGAGAGAGAGAGAGAGAGAGAGAGAGAGAGAGAGAGAGAGAGAGAGAGAGAGAGAGAGAGAGAGAGAGAGAGAGAGAGAGATTTTGGTCAATGACCAGCATTATTGCCTTCACTTGTTATTTACCTTGAAAACTGGTGTGAGGTGAACTAATTCCAGGAGATACATCTGAGCAAACTCCTTGAAAAAGTCCATATGTAATTATTAGCTTCATACTGGAATTTTCTTTGGAATTGATAATGTCACTTGATACCCAGTTTTTAGTTGCAAGCACAACGCAAACTATAACAAAAGAGCATAGGCTGGTGAAAAAAGCAGAGGCGAACATCAAGGTTTTTCTCCTGGATGGCATTTTGTTCGAAAGAGAAGAGTTTTCCCAAACTATAATAAGATTTCTCCACCAACACGGAGTTCTGTAGTTCTTTTGATGAGAAGTCCAGTCTATGAAAGCTTTGCCACTCTTCCAGAAAAAAATGAGAGCACATTGCTTACACTATAAACTTTGTACTAACAGGAATGGTAATAAAGAAATAAAATAGCTGAACTTTGGTCTGCAGTAAAACATTACCATGGTGACAAGAAAAATACTCAGTTCATGACATGCTGAGACTTTCATAATGAAGCCTCAAAGTTAAACTTTATCTCCATAAGGTGAATGATGAAACAATTATTTATAGTGTCACCCAGAATGCATGATATTTCTACAGTTTTTTGTGTCATGGCTTTAAAAAACATGGCAAGTTTAAGGATTGCTTTATTGTGGAAGAGCTTAATGGCATATACACTCCACCCTCTTTTAAGATGAAGTGGTTGTTCAGCAAAGTGTTTGCTAAGGGAAAGCACAACTATGCTTACCACCTGACTTCAGCTTTCCTTGGCTTTTACAGGTCTGCAAATGTCATAAATGCAAAGATTGGCCACAAAGCTTTTCACCACTGTTGTAGCTGCGAATGGCCACTGTACAAGGCAGTCAATAAACAAGGACTACTTGTACACCTTCCTGCAATCACTGAGTGCAGTACTTGGATAGTTCCTAAATCTAATGTGTTGCACATAAAAGTCTAAGGCAGGGGACTTCAAACCAGGCCCTTTTATGACTTGTGGACTTCAACTCCCAGAATTCCTCAGCCAGGCACGCTACCTGAGGAATTCTGGGAGTTGAAGTCACAAGTCATAAAAGGGCCAAGTTTGAAGACCCCTGGTCTAAAGCGTGAAGTTTGAGTTTGAGAGTTTGAACCATAGATTAACTAACTATGGTTATGGCTAGTCATGTCTTAGGAGTCTCAATAAAAGACAAATCTGGTCACATGGTGCTATATGATACTTTAGATACATGGTAGCCACACTTTCAATTATCATGAGAAATTGCACTATACAAGTGCTGTTACAAATATAAAAAAAATGTCACACTAGGAAAATTCCTCAGTAAATACCCTTTTACAGAAATTGGGTTTCCTTGCATGTTGATTGATTGCACAGTTCTTGGAATGCAGAATCCTTCTTATTAAAATGGGAGGCGCAAAGGAATAAGAAGACTTAATGAATTTTATAATGTATATGTAGAACATTAATACTGATAAAATTAATATTCACATACGCTAAACTCGTGTGAAACGTCTAAAAAGTATGGTTTGGGAGAGATTCACTTGAATCTTCATTTTTCCTGGATATTCAAATTAAAATTTTGAATTCATTTGAAACATAAAATAAAATAATATATACAACAGTGATAACATACATAAACTGAAACCTAGTTAATAAGCATAAGCAGTATATAACATGTCATTCTCAAAAAAGGCTAAGCTTGCCAATGAGCCAAGACAGCAAGACAGAAGTCCAGAAATTTAAGTGATAAAGAATAGCTAAGTTTTCTGCTTTAATAAGCATAATCAGGGTGGCATAATGGCTCAGCAGATGTAATGTTGGGCTTGTCAGCTGGAAAGCTGAGAGTCCAGATTTGAGACCCAAGCACTGCACAATGTTCTCACCCTAGCTCCTGCCAACCTAGCTGTTTGAAAGCATGCAAATACAAGTAGATAAATAGGTACTGCTTTTGCAGGAAAAGTTATAGTATTCCATACTTTTGTGCCAGCCACATGATGATGGAAGCAGCTCTCAGACAATGCAGGGTCCCTCGGATGAGAATCAGAGATGAGCACTGTCTCTTTGAGTCAGTCATAACTGGACAGGGAAAACCTTTAGGCTTTAAGTATAATCAATTCCTCAAAAACAGTGAGATTTACTCTTGAATACTAAGGTATAATATTGCCCCATTCCACATAATCTGTCATTAATAAAATATGAGATTATGGACTTAAGAAAATATTTTTAATATCTCTCCCTTGAACCTAGGTTTTTGCATTATACTATTAATATCGTATTCTGAATATAGAATTAGTTGGTGTTGGGATAGCAAACTGTCTGAACCCATAGTTTGTTTTTGATCACTTGATTGCATGGTTTTATTTATGGCTGCCTGACTTACTTCTGATGGTGTCTATTGTGCCAACCCTAAATCATAAAGATGCAAAATTATAGCAAATAGAAAAGATGGATTTGATCAAGGAAGCCAATATAATAGCTATTCTGACATTTCTGGACTTTTAAAGTCATTGGCTCAAACAAAGGATATGATTAACCACAATAAATGTTCAGAGTTCATAGCTGATACAAAGCTTACAGATGGGATTTCACATCTTCCAATCACTTACTTCTGAGTCGTGTTCAGGCAAATATTAGATAATTTAGTAGTAACCAGAACAACCTCAATAGGAGTATTTTTTTTTGCAAAATACAATATTAAATGTTATGCAGCAGTTGCATATCATTGAAGTAGTAAAGAATCTCATTTATGCATAATAAAGTTACTCACAAAAAATGTGTAGGAGTTGATATCATACATATGGATGGAAAAGAATATATTGCATAGGTTTTATTGGCATAGCAACAAATAATTTTGCTGATTCAATCACCATCTTAATTTTAAGAAGATCAATAAATTCACTACTACCATCACACATTCTTTAAAAGGCTCATGACATATGGACAAATACCCATATAGTATAAAGTGTATGGATTGTCAGATTTGAAGGAGAAAGATGAGTGAAAGGTAACAATCATTCCTCATGTTTTCATTGTGTTTTACATTGCAAAAACTTTTGAATCTTTAAAACAAGGGTCGCCAACCCCTGGTCCACAGGGGAACCAGGCCGTGCAAGCAGTGGGCGAGCACACAAAGTTTCATTTGTGCATGTGAGGGATTAGGTTGTGTGCACGAAATCATCCCCTCTCCCCCTGCCACCATTACTGCCTTTCACAACTGCCTGTCTGTGGCACCAGAAAGGTTGGGGACCTCTGCCTTAGAACATCTTATCACAATTTCCTTGCACAATCATCATTATTCCTCCCTCTCTCTCTCTCTCTCTCTCTCTCTCTCTCTCTCTCTCTCTCTCTCACACACACACACACACACACACACGCACACACACACTTATTCACAGGTACATATTTCAGCAAGTCAGAGTTTCAGATCTTTTCTAAAAAAATTAATAACTACCATTCTAGTTTTCTTTATGAGGGAAGTAAGAACACTGTAAAACTACATCTAAACATAATTATTTTCCTAGCAACAATTGTACACAACAACAAAAAGAGACTAGATTCCTTCAATCTGCATTTTTTAAAATGCTGACATGCATGAAAATCCTATAGAACTTTTGAGAATGGGATTTTGATTATGTTAAATATACTTGTAAATCATCTTATGGAGATCAGTAGGCCAGTCTGCTTTGCATCTGCTAGGATAAAATTAGTGCAAAATTCATCAAATTTATTCAAGCCAGAGGGCAAGGCAGTAATGTTCTTGAACAGAAAAAGAGATTCAAAACTATGATAAATTGACTGAAAAATGAAAGTTTTTTTTCTGAGATGATACTACACCAGAATATAGGCCATGGAATGAATAATGTGTTAATGAAATTATTTATTAAATGCCTCCTGTTTTTCCATTACCAATATTTGCACACACAAAACAAATTTTAATGGGTGTGCCTGGTGGAATAGTCTAAAGACATGCTATAGCCATAACCTATTTATAAATACTACACAATAATAATTGATCTATTGTTTTTTAAAATTTATATTTATTGAAGATTCTACACAAAATAAAAAGCTAATCTAAAGGAAATGATAGAAAAGAAAAAATAAAGCCATGCAAGAAAAGAAAAAGCTGTGCAAGGGGGAAAAAAAGCAAGACACAAAACTAAAGTTATGAAATGGCTTGACTTTCCCTTCAACAGGTATTAACAAACTTGTTATCTCCCCGTGCCTTAACTCTTCTAGAAATCCCTTCAACTCTAATTTAATACTCATGTGATAATAATTAATAATGGTGATTGGAAGCTACAGGCATAGTGATGAAGAAATAGCTCAACCTTTGATCCTCTTTCAATCCACCCTAAAAAATATGTCAGTGGGAGAAGCAGCTGTTCTTTTCTCTACTGGTAAAGTAATTATTTCCCAATGATCTTTTCCAATAAGTCCTCTCTTCTCATTTGGTAGCCAAAGTATTGGAAAAGACCAATTTGATCATTGGAAAAGACCCTGAGGTTGGGAAAGATTGAAGGCAAAAGGAGAAGGGGATGGCTGTGGATTAGATGGTTAGATAGTCTCATCGACCCAATGAACATGAATTTGGGAAAACTCCAGGAGACAGTGGAGAACAGAAGGACTTGGCATGCTGTGGTTCATGGTGTTGCGAAGACTCGGACATACTTAATTTTTAATGAAGAAAGAAAAAAAATGAACACAGAGAACTTTGTCCAGCTAAAAGACATAAAAATGGAGTTGCAAAGTGACTTTAGAATTTGAGATGGGGAATGGAGAAAAACATACTAGAAATAATCATAACTTTGAAGTAACCGTGGGTGGATAGACTTAGACTGTGAGAAAGAACAACAGTGATTATGCATTTTTAAGCACAGTCCAACCCATCTTCTGATATGCACACAGGTAAAGAGTTTATGCATTACCTGATTTCTGTAACCATGGTTTTCAAATAGGCCACACTTCATCATTTACAAAGCACAATATGTGAACTCAGCTAGGAGAATCAAAGCATAATTTGTTGGTTGTAGATCAAAAGATGCTTTGGATAAAACATTAATAGGATTTGAAAAGATATGTATGTGAATTTTTGACACGGGAGACGGTTTCCCTAATTACTCTTTCCAATTTCCTTTTGACTTATACCCACACATCTTAGCCAGAAGCAAGCCTAATTCATACAATAAGTAAACATGAGTAAATTGCTTTTTTACAACATTCTGGATCATATGATCTGTATCCAGCAGG